AATTCCAATTGGCTATTCAACTTAGTGAATGAGCACACAAGAAAAAAATGGAACTGACAAAAGCAAACCAAAGACGGAGTAAAGATGGAACGCAGAGACAATTGTTGTCATTCTTGTCACTTGTCTTGTCATCTCATTTGACCAGAGGATTATTTTAATACTACCATGGTAATACCATGGCTTTGTGGAATCAAGATGTCGAGGACCAGCTAATCACCATGAACCAGGAGAGGCCGCTACTGGTGGAAACTGTGGTAAAAGCAAGCGCTGCTTGCGGTGTAAATCCACAGTTCTAGCTCTTCCGGTTTCCCTGTTTGAACGCCGAATACAGACTACTGCCACCTGCTGGTATGGGAGAGTTATGTTTTCTCAGGCAAGCGCAGAGCGCACACGCTAGTTGGCCGTCGGCTGTAGTCTGTCTAGTCCAGTGTGTTCTTTTTTTGCCCCGACGCAGGTGATGCGAGGTGACTGCACAGTTGGCTTTCCTCAGCTCTTTTTTTTTGGCACCCGTTTGATGTGTCCCTACCCTAAGCACAGAATTCAACAACGTTGACAACTGGAGGATGGAGGACAGAGAAGTGCCTGGGCTTTGGTGTCAGTCCATCTGTCGCTGTTTTCTATGCTCGTGAAGTTACTTTGTGTATATTTAAACTGTGTGTTTACAAGGCTTTTTAAAAATGGCAGGTGTCTGTGTTTCGTATGGCATGCATTTGGCGAATCACTTACATCACTGGTAGTTCCTATTGTGCTGGGTTAGACCTTACTCTGAAGTAGATGCTAATTTACTCAAGAGGCATTCCTATAACTAAAATTGTTCCTAGTTCCTGTGGAGCGAATATGCCAAAAAGCGAGTACTTCCACCAATAGTTATAGGAAGTTATTTGAAAACGTTCTTCTGGTGTGAAGGTCCCTATTGTATGTCCAAACGTTGTTAAACTCCCACGCAATTACTACTATCTTCTATCCTTTTAATAAGTGATTTGCAATGCACTAAAACTATTCAAAACACCCTACCAAGCAAATATCAATGTGATAAAACTACTCTGAAACCCAAGCAACTGTTGCAATGTGTTAAAACTACTAAAACACCTTAGTAACTTCATAGCAACGTGTTAAATCTACTTGGAATATTTTCTTGGAATGTTCTTAAACTAGCAAGTGAATTGACTAATGGAATCTTTAGAATCAGCTGCATAGAGGGGATTGCGCTTAAATATACTGCATGTAAGAATCAGAAAATCCTTGTTATTAGTGACACCAGTTGCTATTAAGTGAACTGCATTCAGGGTTGGTTTGATATTCACCCCAGTTTTCACCCAACCTTTAATAATTTTACTTAGCCAGATAAAAAACAGCAAAACCAACCTGCATCCTTCACATAAAAATCAGTCTACGGACTGTTATAGGAAACCTAGGAAGGTCACATCATTTTTATGTTGCTTTACAACTGTTCACACATTGGCAATAAAAAACAATTAATGCATGAAAATTCTTACATATAGTAGGGGGATCATGCAACTAAAACTGCTCAAAACACCTTATAAACTTCATAGCAATGTGCTGCAACTGATCAGAACACCTTAGCAACCGCAAAGTGTGTGAAGGACCTGTACAGGTCCGCCATCTATTATGTGTGATTCTTTGATTTGTTAATTGAGTTCAGAAAGGGAATAACTAAATTGCATTTGAGTGTGTGTGTGTGTAGTCTTTGAACATGAAATTACTCTTGTGTAGTTCTCTTTCATTTTGTAGACATTCAGTTATCTCTCCACCTAAACACACACACATTACTCGGTATTCTCATTTAGAAAGGTCTAATCACGGTTATACAGATCACACATGGACTCATAAAAATAAAAGTTCATGGACTGTGATTCTGATAGAAAAAAACTTTGCTGTCTGTAAGGACAACATTAAGCATCTGTAGGGCCATTTAGACCAGGGCCATAACCATTATAGACATTGAGGGGACAAGTCCTTCCCCAAAATTTGATATTTTTGATGCTGCTCTGTTTGTTGTTATGACAAAGTTTTGAGTTACATTTTTATAATGGTCTGCCTCAGCAGTCGAACAATGCTCCATGTCAAAATGATTGAGATGGCCAATCAAATCAAAGATGGCAGGCTTTACTGTTCACAGATTCCAAACATGTATTCCAGCGTGACACTTCAGTTTTTAACAGTGAAAGAGTGCAAGATGGTATGATGTAAGTAGCTAAGCATATAATAGATCCAAACAATTTTTTTCCGTTTTGAAAATAGTCCTTTGAATAAAAAGACCATACCAAAAAAGAAAAAGAAAAGTCCCCTCAAGCATTTTTATGATGAAACTGGATGATGGTCTTCATTATGATGGTGATTTTTGATGAATTGTTTTTAATGTTGGTAAACAGAAGTGGCCACGCTCTGATGGCCTTCTTGCTTTCACGTCAAGAGGGAAAACTCAACCGCCAGCAAACTATGGAGCTGGGCCACCACATTCTTAAAGCTCACATATTCAAGGTAGGAAACTCAGATGCTCGAAATCCTTCTCTGTGTTTGTTTGAGTGGTGTGACCTGCATTTTAATTCTTCCTGCCTATCCTTCTCTATGTCCTCAGGGTCACAGTAAGAGAACTGGGGTTTCATCAAGTATTCTGCAACCCTTGTGGATCAGCTACAGTACAGACAGCCTCTCTGCAGCTCTTTCCTCCCTCAGAAACCTCTACACACCCAACGTCAAGGTTTGAGGATATGCGCACACAAAAAACAAACACATTCTCGTCCTCAATGTGCCAATGAGAACTTCACTTATAAAAAGCAGCGTCAATCTTGAGTAAAGAATAAAAATGAACAACTGCTTTGAGCCCCTGAATTGTAGAACATGGCTCCAACAATTACAGCGACTGACGCATTCAACCGCACAGGAAGAGCTATAGTCTTGCAGAGTTCTGAGTCATCCACAATGAACGAGATTTCATAAGTCACATAGAACATGGTAATTAGCACTGAGGCTTACTGAATGCCTTACGTAATGACTACATTTATTTATTAAATCTATTATATGTTAATTGCAGTCTAGACTCCGCTCTCCCTGCAATTTCCTCTCCTACGGAGTTTTAATGAAACGAACGTCATTCTGAATCCGTGTGTGCACGCCAGCATCCTTGACAGCCATTTGGCTGGAGAGCTGCTCATTAATTCCTACTGTGTTTGTATAAATAAACGCAATTCTGCTTCCTTTGCTTTTAATGTGTTCTTCTTTCATCCAGCATCTTAATCAAGCTTCCATTACCACACTGCCCATGTCCACAAAAAATAAATAATGCCAGGTTGTGTTCATTTCGCCCTAGTTTGCGAGTATGAATTCGTGCAGGAGCGTCACGCACTTAGTGTTTTAGAAAATGTTTTATATTTTGAAAAAAACCCAACCCCCAAATAAAAATAACTATTATTCTTTATAATAAATTTTTTCTTAAATTTACGCATTTACTGTTGCTATTCCAGAATATTAAAGGGGTCATATGATGCTTTTTTAAAGATCATTATTTTGTGTATTTGGTGTAACAGAATATGTTGACATGCTTTAATGTTCAAAAAACACATTATTTTTCAAAAGTCCCTCCTTCCGAAAGGAAAACTTGAAATCGCATCATATGACCCCTTTAAGAATATTAGGCGTTAACTACATCAGCATCTAACAGCGCATTTTGTGAATCAGAGGCTGTTCTTTGAAATCCTTCATACCTGGCATCCTTCATTAGCTAGTATAGACTGAGTTTGGTTAATCAGTCATGTCATTTTCACAGAAGGCTAAAAATTTATATTTTGTAAAATTTTGGATGGATTCCCTAAACCACCCATACACATGTGTATATATACCTATTTTCAAAGTCGTTTGGTTTTATGATTAGACAAATTATTACTGATCCAATTAAAATGGCGGGGCAGGAAACTGTGGTAGGGGGATTGAGATTGAGGCTATATATTGAATAAATGGACTGAGGCTATAGATAGCTATTGATTTGAAACTGTAGATTGTACACATACAGTAGGCTGTTTACTGAGGCTATATATTGAGGCTATAGAGTGCACATGTAGATTGAAGTTGTAGATTATAGATTGAAGCTGTATTTTGAATATATTCTGTATATTAAGGCATAGATTGGCTGTTGATTTGCTTGCATTTGTAAATTGTAGATATAGGCTGTGGATTGAAGATACACATTTTGGTATGTAGATTGAACATGTAGATTAATATTGTAGATTGAGGCTATAGATTAGGCGATAGAACTGTAGATTAAAGATAAAGGCTGTTTACTGAAGCTGTAAATTAAGGTTATAGATTAAACATGCTGTAGATGATAGATTTGGGTTGTAGATTGAAGATGTAGATATAGGCTGTAAATTTAACCTATAAATTGGCTATAGATTGAAAAAAAGGCTATAGATTGAAGATGTAGACTGTAAATTGAGATTGCAACTACTGTATGTAGATTGGGGCTATAGATTGAATATGTAAATTGATATAGATGGAAAATGTAGATTGTGGATGTAGATTGATTCTGTAGACGGAAGCTGTAGATTGTAAATTGAGGTTTGTGTTCTGAAATCAAATCAAAATTATTGTAAATTATGAGTGAATAACTAACTTGGCCTATACATCGTGACAATGATTTTTAAAGCATGATGATATATATATATATATAAGTACAACTATGTGTTACAACAAGGAGAACTGTTCTGTGAAGCCCTCAAACACTTTATAATTGAACCGGTTACTTAATTTCTTGTATATTAAGGCATAGATTGGCTGTTGATTTGCTTGCATTTGTAAATTGTAGATATAGGCTGTGGATTGAAGATACACATTTTGGTATGTAGATTGAACATGTAGATTAATATTGTAGATTGAGGCTATAGATTAGGCGATAGAACTGTAGATTAAAGATAAAGGCTGTTTACTGAAGCTGTAAATTAAGGTTATAGATTAAACATGCTGTAGATGATAGATTTGGGTTGTAGATTGAAGATGTAGATATAGGCTGTAAATTTAACCTATAAATTGGCTATAGATTGAAAAAAAGGCTATAGATTGAAGATGTAGACTGTAAATTGAGATTGCAACTACTGTTTGTAGATTGGGGCTATAGATTGAATATGTAAATTGATATAGATGGAAAATGTAGATTGATTCTGTAGACGGAAGCTGTAGATTGTAAATTGAGGTTTGTGTTCTGAAATCAAATCAAAATTATTGTAAATTATGAGTGAATAACTAACTTGGCCTATACATCGTGACAATGATTTTTAAAGCATGATGATATATATATATATATAAGTACAACTATGTGTTACAACAAGGAGAACTGTTCTGTGAAGCCCTCAAACACTTTATAATTGAACCGGTTACTTAATTTCTTGTTTAAACCAGTCTTACCTTTGTCCCCAGGTGTCTCGGTTGCTGATTCTGGGAGGGGCGAGTGTGTGTTACCGTACTGAGGTGTTGAACAGTGCACCAGTGCTGTGTGTGCAGTCTCACCTGGGCCACCTGGAGATGGCTGCTTTGCTCCTGGAGTGTGGGGCACCAGTGGATGGGCAGTCAGAGAACGGCATGACCTCTCTCTGTTACGCCTCAGCTGCTGGACATCTGCCACTTGTCACCTTACTTTGCAAAAAAGGGGCAAAGGTCAGTTGATCCCCCTTTTAATACACAAACTGGCTATAAATTATTCAAATACTTCACCAGACTGTTTTTCTGTAAAAGGTATTCAGGAGTTAAATTGGGAGGTGGAGGAATTATTGATGATTCTGCTGCCCTAGCAACCCCCCACAAAATTTCAATAAATTTGAAGCCATTTTGTCATAGTACTCTATATTTGCAGGAAAAGAAACTGAATAAAATAAACATACAAAATACACCATATGTACTCTTTTAATAAAGCAAGCAATATAGCTACTGCATATAAGTGGATGAATAGACCACTCTTTTTAGGCACAGGTGCACAAGTGTTCACATAATCCAAACGAGTGGGTGTGCATCAAAAATGCTACTGTGAAAGCCCCCATATAGTAATGGGAAATGCATTTTTATGTGAAAAAAAAGATTTTATTTTATTGTTTTGTTATAATGAGTGAAAATGTTAGACCTCATATGTACTCATTAACTTTAAACGCTTCTTAGAGTGTGCATGTAAATGTCAAACAAACTGAACTCAACAAAAAGAGAGAGCAGTTATTTCGTGATTTGGTAACTTTGGTTATATAAACAATTCTACTCTTTTCAGTCTGTGAAAAGTTTATATTGTTACGTTTTTAAATCATTTTTGCACACAGTGTACTGTATAGTGTACAAGGTGTTCCAAATTGTTCCTCCTCCGTTTTACCTTCTGCAAGTATTACAGATGAACTCCAGGAATTTTACCGCTCATTTATTAACAGGAGCTTGTCAATAATAAGACCGCTTTAACAATACAGTATGACAAACTTGATAATCAGTGCTCAAAAAGAAATACATTTATTTTTATTTTTATTAATGTGTTCCGTTTCAGTGCAGGTTTATAAGTAAAACTGTATAAATAAGCATGTGTTATGTTAGGTGGATCATGCTGATAAGAGCGGTCAGTGTGCACTGGTTCACGCTGCTCTGCGGGGTCATGCTGAGATTGTGCAGTATCTTCAGGAACAGGAGTGGAGTTCAGACCTAAAAAACAAGGCACTGCAGCAGGCACTGATCGCTGCCTCCAGCATGGGACACACACAGGTATTGAATACACACTCACTACACACAGAATACTCCACACCACACATTCACACAACAAACGCTATCTTGAATCATCATTATCCAATTAATTTGTATTTACAGGTGGTAAAAAGGATGCTCGCATTGAACAATGATGAATTTTCGGTGCAGATTGACGGTCATGATACTTTGTGGGGTGAAACAGGTTTGTAAATACACCACATTACAATGCATTTATTATTGTCATCTTTTACTGTAGTTAAAGTACAATCTTTTGAATTCATGTCTTAGTGTAAAACCATTATAAGTCATTGTGCTATTAGATAATTTACATGTAAAAGTTGCCATTTAGTGCAGTATTGACAGATTTAAAAATACACAGACTTAAGCTGTGTCCATAATCACATACCGTCTAGTACCTCCTACATATGGTTTGAAACTTACTTCGCAATCGTTAAAAAAGTATGTTCTATAGTACGAATATGAGTACTTTAAATGAAATCCGGACATACTACTACTATCCGCTATGTTGTTGCTGTCATGTGACCAATCAGGGTCAGTTGCGTCACTTCATTGCAATTCACAACTCCTCTACCATGGAATCATGGGATAGTAAAGTGTCCATCAAATGCAAACTCCAGAATCTCAGCGGAAGGTCATTACTTTTTGCCTAGTATTTTTCAAATACTATGAATTCGGGCATACTACTATTTTGGCATACTGTTTGCAATCTGTATGGTAGGGAAGTAGCATATTCGGACACAGCGATAGTTTCCCATCGATAGAGACTGCTGTGCTGCTTAGATCATTATTTTGAGCATGCACATCTTCTCCAGCTCTAACTGCTGCTGCTGGCCGGGGCAAACTAGAGGGGTGTGTGTTCCTGCTGGATCAAGGTGCCAGTGTAACACAGCCTAACCGCAGAGGGATAGCACCCATCTTTAATGCAGTGCGACATGGACACACACAGGTAAAACCCTTTATTACACTGAAACAAAAACATTGCATTTAGAAAAAAAAAAGTAATTTTACATGGACATCTCTCACCTCTTTTACTTTTTTTCTCTCTTCTCTTTTCTAGATAGCAGAGTTGTTTCTACAGCGTGGTGCAGATGTGAATGGCAGTGATAAACATGGTCGCTCTCTACTGATGGTGGCTGCAAGTGAGGGACACCTGGAGACTGTGGACTTCTTGCTCTCACAGGGTCAGTAATCATGAACCAGGTGTCCTTAATCTGTCTTAACCCCATAAAGCCTACTGTATCATATTTGATATGCAATGTTCTAAGGCTTCTAAATGATCAGCATGATCAAAACTTTGCTGAAAAACATGTTCATTCTGTCATCTAATTTCGTAGTTTATACCTTTTTAGCAAGTAAAAGGCCTTGTAGTATAATCGTATTGTAATTGTAGTGTAATTGGGCATCTTTGACCGTTGCACTCGTGTCTTGCATCTTTTGCAGCATCTCATGCATGACAGGAGAATCCAAAAAATGCGGTACAAATTAAAAGAAGTTCAACTTGCATCAAATTGCATCTTGAGGCCTTGTATTCCACTGTCTGCGTCTCATGTTTTTCTATCAAATAAAGTCCTTAAGGATTGTTTTTTTTTATTGTAGGAGCATGTATAACAGCAGTGGATAAAGAAGGTCTGACCCCGCTCGGGTGGGCATGTTTAAAAGGGCAGAAGAAAGTGGTTGAGTTTCTGGTGGAGAGGGGAGCTCAGATTGACCACACAGATAAGCACGGGCGCACCCCGCTGGACCTGGCTGCTTTCTACGGAGACGCGGACATAGTAAGCCAAGATAACCTTTCTCTGTGGACACACATGGACACTTTTATCTCGGTATTATGCCAAGTCCATATCTGAGCAATCTGTTTTCAGGTGCATTACCTGGTTGAGTGTGGAGCGGCGATTGAACACATGGACTACAGCGGCATGAGACCTCTTGACCGGGCCATCGGTAGCAGAAACACCTCAGTTGTGGTCACTCTGCTGAAGAAAGGGGCTAAACTGGGTGAGTCTAACCTCAGAACATCATGACACACATAGTTTTATATCTCCTGGGTTCATGTGCCGTCCTCTAGAATCTAGATCGCCACAGTCAGGTTCTCAAGAGGGGCTTGTCCATTCTAAATCTAGAATGTAGTGAGTTCCATTTGTTCTCCCCTTTTCTTTGAGAGTAAAAGCATAGCGTTTCTTTGCTGAGTCCTAAATGCAATTGAAACCAGGCCATATTCACAGAAGAGCCGTGCAGGACTGTTAGCCCACAGTTAAGTAGGACGCTGGTGATGTATGGGACTGTCATTCACACTCTGCATCAGGGCAAAGACTTTTATAGCGAAGTCCACTCAGCTTTCTACTCACAGTCACAGAGTGCAAACCTTAGGAGAACATTTTCCCCCTCCAGTTTAAAAACGTCTAATTACATCTGAAATGGCAACTGTCTCTGCCAGTCTGGAGGTTGATGATGGCAATGACTTTGCCAGATGCATTTTAATGATGTTGTGGAGCGATTTGTCTTGTCTACATACTAGACTTGGTTCAGAAAAGCTCCTGTGTGGATTGGAAAAAAGAAAATCTCCCCCTTTTGTGAGCAAGCTCCATAACCACTGAAATTTTTTTTTTATTAGCATTAGCTGATATTTCCAGTTAGCCTCTAGAAAGGAGCAATATAGAGGTTAGCGATTTTTTTGTGCTTGCTCATTTCCCCCACGCTATACAAATAATACTGCAGGACAAGCAAAAAGATCTAGTTTCCATTTTTTATATGTCAAACTCTCATCCAAACCATCTCAAGAGGTTTTATGTTTTAGAAAGGCTGCCAGTGAATACTTTTATCCTTTAGTCAGCCTACTCTAGTACTCCAAAAGTTGACCTGAAGTGGAAGTTCTGCAGTTTTAACATTTATTTTAGTATTATAAACAGACAGTTCCAGTCCTGGATGCTGATTTGTTGATACAACTATTAGCCATATATTACACGTTATGAATTATATAGTCTAGTGAAAGGATGGCACATAATGGGTTTGCTTTATGAAACTGATTTTATGTAGTAATTGTTTTATAAAAGGTGCTCAAGACTGTGCTATATTGTGATTATAGTCACAGTCTCTTATTGCTTAGAATGGTTTCTAAAGGATCATGTGACACTGAAGACTGGACTAATGTCTGCTTAAAATTCAGCTGTACCATCACAGGAATAATAAATGTATTTTAAATTATATTAAAATACAAAACAGTTTGCAAAAATATTTCAGCGTATTACTGTTTTTACTGTATTTTAGATCAAATAAATGCAGCCATGGTGAGCATAAGTCTTCTTTCAAAAACATAAAAAAATTGTACCAACCCCAAATTTTGAATGACAGTTTATATTTCTTCCAAATTCCAATGCACATCTATTCTTCTTGAGTTTTCCTTGCATTTGTTCTTTATGCTTTATTTCTCTTTTTTCTTTTTCTTTCTTTCTGTTCTGCTGTCACTATCACTGCTAAAGGCTACAGAACATCTCCTTATGAACGATCAGGTACAAGCGTTAGGAAAGTCATACTCTGAGTCGGTCGGTGTGTTATTGACTGTCAGGACTGACGTCTCTCTTTCTTTCTTCAAGGTAATGCTGCCTGGGCCATGGCCACCTCCAAACCCGACATCCTCATCATACTTCTGCAGAGGCTCATGGAGGAGGGAAACCTGCTTTATAAGGTCTGTGGATCTAAAAATGGAAAGTTATCATTTTCAGAAAACGTACATATTTAATTTTTAAATGAACTGTTAAGCATTCAGGCTACTATTTTTAATAACACATGCTAGATTTGCTTTACATAAACCACAGTTGCATTGATTTAACCATGGTATTGAAGAGCCGTCTATGGTTTTACCTGTCGTTCTTAGAAAAAACACATTTAAACTGTGATCAGTAAATTTTTCGATGAATGTTCTCTGAGACTCTCTGAAACTCTTTCATACTTGTTTCTTTTCCATGTATTCCTTCTCTCCTTCTTTCTCAGAAAGGGAAGATGAAGGAAGCCGCTCAGAGGTATCAGTATGCACTGAGGAAGTTTCCGAGGGAAGGTTTTGGGGAAGACCTGAAGGCATTCAGGGAGCTCCGGGTTTCCCTGTATCTCAACCTGTCCCGCTGCCGCCGCAAAACCAATGTATGTCACACAAGTGTATGCGTAACTTCAGTGGATAGAGGTCAAAGGCTTCAATAACACTCCTAACAATTGGTGGATGACAATACATCTCTATGTGCCTTAACAAACTGAATTTAGTATATTAAATGGCTATATAGGCATTTCATATTGATCACATGCACACTCATTTTCTCCTCCAAGATAATATGATGGTTTGTCTAGGTTCAGGAGATGAGCCTCACGGACTGTTCATAGAAGTGTTTTGAGTGCAATTAGGCAGCAGATTACATGAATGTGAGAGAGAGATAGAGAGTCACTATGTGTCCTGCTACGTGTTTCCTAAATACACAGGCATCCGGAAGTTCTAATGGTTATTTTAATAGGATCTGCCACTATTAAACATTTAAAGTGCATCATTAGGGCTGACAGTTATGGCTCGTCATTGAAACTCTGACCTCAGACTCAAAAGAATGGAATTTCAACGAGAGTCTCCCCATTACAGATGTAGGCACCAGAGCGGAATGAAGGACTCAGGTAGAATGTGAGCAAGTAAATTCAGCCCCTTGGTATGCACACATCACTACCAGGATGCACCAGTGCTGCCATGAGTGCACTAACCATTCTCATGGGTCAAGACAAAGCATTAAACTTGCGTGATTGATATTTTGTCTTCATTTTTCCTGTCCCTTCCTCCTGTCACTCAAATTCTCTCTCTCTTCTTCCTTTCACAATTGTTCTTGACAGGATTTTGGCATGGCTGAAGAGTTTGCCACCAAGGCTCTCGAGCTCAAGCCTAAGTCCTATGAGGCATTTTATGCACGTGCTAGAGCCAAAAGGAGCAGCAGGTAAAGAACCTTCATGCTGGTTTGGAACATGCAAATTGTTTGTGATAAGAGAGAATTACTTCGGTTGTTCTTTCTGTCTGCATGCAAAACCAAACATACAGCACAACAAAATTCTCCATTTGTGTAGTTCTTTTTAATCGTGTTAGCAAGCGCCCTGCAAATCAACTTGAATGGATGTAACTGGTGAAAATAGACTTATTGAAAGTGAACAGCTACTGTATACCTCTGGGACATTACAAAATTCTGTCGCATATGAATCAAATTTAACATTAAAATAATGTAGAATTTGAAATGCTGATCTGTGTTCAACAAACACTTAAATTGAACTGCTCAGTTAAATTAAACGCACCTTTTTGTCTGTGACAAGTTATTACATTTGTGGTTTTTATTGTAGATTTATTGAATAAATGTTGGTAGTAACAGTTATAACTTACAAATAAAGCTACATAAAATATGCTTTTTACACTGAGTTCAATTAAACCAAATGGCAGGAATTATTAGGTTTAGCAAACAGTGTGACTGACTGATACAGTAAAAAAATTTTTTGCAACAAACCATCAAAATGCGCAGAAAATGAAAAATGTCTATAATATAAAAACAATATAATTATAATTCAAATGTAATAATTAAGTGTAAAGATTCATTAGTCCCCACTATATTTGCCTGTAAACCAGTAAATTACCTATTCACTGGAGCTCAGCTACAGTTACTTTTGTGTGCATGCACTAGAATTTCCATAGGACTACATTTCTGAGCCCACCACACACCACTGCTCATGACTATCTGCTTCTGGCGGTTCAGAGAAAACCAGGCACAGGTAGAATTTGAAATGCTGATCTGTGTTCAACAAACACTTAAATTGAACTGCTCAGTTCAATTAAACGCACCTTTTTGTCTGTGACAAGTTATTACATTTACACACTATATTTGCCTGTAAACCAGTAAATTACCTATTCACTGGAGCTCAGCTACAGTTACTTTTGTGTGCATGCACTAGAATTTCCATAGGACTACATTTCTGAGCCCACCACACACCACTGCTCATGACTATCTGCTTCTGGCGGTTCAGAGAAAACCAGGCACAATGGCCTGATGTCACAGTGGGCAGCAGAGAAATCAAATGAAGTAAAGTCTGTTCAAATGTCATGCCAAATGAAATGGGGTGATTTTACTGTCATGGTGAATCGGACAGTGATTTATTTCACTTCATATTTTCAGAAGTGCACATTAGGACTGGATTTCTTAAGTGGAAATAATCAGCTTTAATACACACAAACTCTTTTCTGGATGCCACACAGGCAAGTGCTTTACAAAACTCAACAAATCCCATGTTTACATTCCCTACAATCTCTTGGATTACGTATTATGTTGGCCACTTTTTCCATGATTTTTTCCTTAAACACAACTTGATCAAGATTTCCTATTAGGTAATGTATAAAAGACATGGCAAAATCCATGTTACTTTTATATAACTCCTCATGACATCAGCTGAGGTAACATTTAGAGGAGGTTAATGTCGTTCCTACACTATTATGGCATGCTTTCCACCTATTATGACATGATTATTATGATATATATATATATATATGCACACACATACTGTATATACAGTACATAGAGAGAGACACATACTGTATATGTAGAGTACATCCAGAATCTACTGCAAGGTATGGGGGATGAATACAGATCCGGAGTAGTGTGTGCTGTCATTTTACCAATGTGCATCTCGGAGCTGAGGGTTTCCTTGGTGAGAGAGAGCAGCTCCTCTCCATCGATGTTATTGGATTTAAACACGTCAATCACTGCCTCCAGCCCCTCCTCACGTAACCATGCCAACACATCCTCCTCAGACCACTCGCTCACCATCAGTCTGGAGTGTCCACTCGACTTCCTGCCTGAGAAACAGCAACAGGACGTACATGTTACCTGGATATGGTCAATGACATGATGCTATTCTTTGTCCCATCTATTAACTAACTCAAAAATACATTAAAAACTCATTCGAGTTGAAGCAATAGCCTTGTGGCAGCATTTCGATTTATAATGCAGCTGTGCCATAGGCAAGCAGTTTCTCTCTCTCTCTCTCCTCTCTGTTGTTTCCGGTCTCATCTACATGACTGTCCTAACTAACAAAGGCATAAAAGGCCAAAAATAGTTCATACATATATTGATGGGAATACACCTCTTCTGTGACGAACATGTTTTTCATTTCTGAACTAAAATTCATTTTTATATTTTTTTTTGGGGGGGGGGAGGGGTGATGATGATATAATGAGGACAAATTTAAATCTTAAGTTTTATTGGATTTCTTATATTTGTTCATCAAATCAAAGTCATGTGATCTCACCAACATGCAGAAACATGCAAAAAGAAGAAAACATAATGGAATGTGACATAAAGAAGACCCCTCATAAGGGGGATCTGACCTTCGTTCATCTTCGGAACACAAATGAAGATATTTTTGATGGAATCTGAGAGTTGTCTGACCCTGCATAGACAGCAACGCAACTGAAATGTTCCCAAGTCCAGAAACGTAGCAAGGAGATCTGTAAAATAATCCATGTGACATCAGGGGTTCAACCGTAATTATACAAAGCTACGAGAATACTTTTTGTGCTCAAAAGAAAAAAAAATAACGACTTTACGCTGTTTATGTAATTCGGATATTCTCTAAAATGGCGCTACAGGGTGATGCGGAGGAGACGAATTGTTGAATAAAGTCGTTTTTTTGCGCACAAAAAGTATTCTCGTAATAGTAGCTTTGTATAATTACGGTTGAACCCCTGATGTCACATGGATTATTTTACAGATCTCCTTGCTACGTTTCTGGACTTGGGAACATTTCAGTTGCGTTGCTGTCTATGCAGGGTCAGACAGCTCTCAGATTCCATCAAAAATATCTTCATTTGTGTTCCGAAGTTGAATGAAGGTCTTACGGGTTTGAAACGACATGAGGGTGAGTAATTAATGACAGAATTGTCATTTTTGGGTGAACTATCCTTTTAAGGTCATTCCTACACTATTATGATGCGATTTCTACCAAGTCCAACACTAAATTTTGTGTGTGTGTGTGTGTGTGTGTATATATATATATATACATACATATACACACTCCTTTGTAATATATACATAGAGAGAGACACGCAATTTATATGTAGAGTACATCCAGAGTCTACAGCATGTTATGGGAGATGAATACAGATCTGGAGTAATGTGTGCTGTAATTTTACCGATGTGCAGCTCAGAGCTGAGGGTTTCCTTGGTGAGAGAGAGCAGCTCCTCTCCATCGATGTTATTGGATTTAAACACGTCAATCACTGCCTCCAGCCCCTCCTCACGTAACCATGCCAACACATCCTCCTCAGACCACTCGCTCACCATCAGTCTGGAGTGTCCACTCGACTTCCTGCCTGAGAAACAGCAACAGGACGTACATGTTACCTGGATATGGTCAATGACATGATGCTATTCTTTGTCCCATCTATTAACTAACTCAAAAATACATTAAAAACTCATTCGAGTTGAAGCAATAGCCTTGTGGCAGCATTTCGATTTATAATGCAGCTGTGCCATAGGCAAGCAGTTTCTCTCTCTCTCTCTCCTCTCTGTTGTTTCCGGTCTCATCTACATGACTGTCCTAACTAACAAAGGCATAAAAGGCCAAAAATAGTTCATACATATATTGATGGGAATACACCTCTTCTGTGACGAACATGTTTTTCATTTCTGAACTAAAATTCATTTTTATATTTTTTTTTGGGGGGGGGGAGGGGTGATGATGATATAATGAGGACAAATTTAAATCTTAAGTTTTATTGGATTTCTTATATTTGTTCATCAAATCAAAGTCATGTGATCTCACCAACATGCAGAAACATGCAAAAAGAAGAAAACATAATGGAATGTGACATAAAGAAGACCCCTCATAAGGGGGATCTGAAAACTGAATAAATAAGCTTTCCATTGACGTATGGTTTGTTAGGATAGGGCAATATTTGGCAAAGATGCAACTATTTGAAAATCTGGAATCTGAGGGTGCAAAACAAATCTAAAGATTGAGAAAATCGCCTTTAAAGTTGTCCAAATGAAGCTCTTAGCAATGCATATTACTAATCAAAAATTAAGTTTTAATATATTTACGGTAGGAAACTTACAAAATATCTTCATGGAACATGATCTTTACTTAATATCCTAATGATTTTTGGCATAAAAGAAAAATCTACAATTTTGACCCATACAATGTTTTTTGGCTATTGCTACAAATATACCCCAGCGACTTAAGACTTAAGGTTTTGCACACACATGTTAGGTCAGGTAGTACAAAATCATGTGGTGATGCTCCCAATAAATCTTTGAATTCTATGAATTCATAATTCATGACATTACTTGATGGTTACACCACTTGATATGTTTTGAGTAATTGAATTTCTTCTCAGAATTTGTATTCAAGTTTTTTCAAAACTACATGAAACCAACACAAATACAAACAGTAACGTGGTTTAAACCAGACTTTTTTTAAGTTCCATTTTTATCATGAACAAACTAATATCTCAAGTGAAATGTATCAACTAAACTAACTAAGAGTGAATTCTTAATGAGACTGCAGGTCAACACTTCTCACACTGCATCTAATGCATAAATCATGAGGTGGAATGTTCTACACCATGTATCCGCTCAGGATGGAGTCAGATCATTTGCAGTACTTTGACTTCTTAGTGTGTGTGTGTGTGTGTGAGCTGTTATTTTGGCATTCATACTGCAGATCTCATCAGATTTCCTCCACACGCATGCAGTTAAACCAGTCAGTGTATGTAAAGCCCACTAGAGCTCACGGAGTGCACTGTGTGTTTGGACTAAAGGCTGCAGCTGTGCTCCATCACCCCAGAGAAACTTCTGAAGGCCGTGAGAAGAATACATCTCATTCTTCTTCTTCTTTGTGTATGTAGTTAGATACTACACCTCTCCGGTGTCTTTGAATATCGGTGAGTAATTACTGAACACGGGCAGCGGTATTACATGCAGTTAACAATAGCACATCATTTACTTAACTAAACGACCCCCAGTATACGATTTATATGTTTTTTTTTTAATTTACCAATGTACTGTATGGTCTGGATTTGTCTTACCTCCACTGCTTGAAACCGAAGCAGCTTGATCTGAAAAGAGGAACACAGGAACAAGCATAACTGAATATGAATTTAGGGGCAGTTTGCAGGTTACAAGCAGACGTCAAAGTTAGGTTATGACTCTTGGACAGTTTATATTAAACTGGTTGAATCTCTTGAGCTCCGTAACAGCTGTAAACACAAGCTTTAGCAGTGTAACAGAACAATACAAACACTGCTCAGTTTGTATTTTTGTTGTCAAGTGTTTGTTTGTTGAGTGTTTATTTTTTGTATACTGTTTGTTAGTTACAGCCAAAATAAACAATAAAAACCGGTAAAACACTCACCAGAAAGAGATTTGCCTTTAGTTTCAGGAATCAAACAGGAGAACATGACAAAATAAGAAAAACAAACAATCGTTTTGTTGAACAAACAATCATTATTATCGTTCTTAGAACAAATTAAACAGAAAAAAGGGATTTTCCAATGCAAATAGTTTGGAATTTGCACTTCCTGTGTATGAGTCATACCTAGCTTCTCTGCAGTACATTTTCATACCCCATCATTTATGATTGAATATACTCCATAAAATATTAAAGGGGTCATATGATGCGATTTAAATTTTTCCTTTCTCTTTGGAGTGTTACAAGCTCTTGGTGCATAAAGAAGATCTGTAAAGTTGCAAAGACTAAAGTCTCAAATCCAAAGAGATATTCTTTATAAAAGTTAAGAGTCAGCCACGCCTACCTAAAACGGCTCGTTCTAACACGCCCCCAACATATCTACCTCACTATGTGGGAAGATTTGCATAACGCCGCCCAAATGTTCACGCAAAGAAAGAAGGCGTTACTTTTATTCTCGCTGTAGTATTGTTGACGCTGCAGCCATGTCGTGAAGACGCTGTGTGCTTCGTTGTGAAAGCGAAACTACTTTGTTTGGTCTTCCAAAAGAGGACGATATCCGCTTCGTCATGCCTAGAGCTGATCCGTGCTGGTCGCTGAGGGAATACATCAACTTTCACCATGGAAGAAGCGGAGTTCAGCCCGGGGTCCAGCTCACTCTATCCCGGCCTCAGCGCACGCTAAGCCGGGGCTTCCCCTCACGCTAGGCCGCTGTGTTTTT